GTGTCTGTATGTATACAGAGAGAGAGAGACAGAGCAGAGACAGAGAGACAGAAATAGAGAAAGATGGCCATTTGAAATGTGAGGCCACTGTCAGAATTGCAAGGGGCAATCTTAAAGGCTCCAAGAAAGGATTAAGCAGTAGCTATCGTTAGCATTTCAGCCAGAGACATTACATTGTTGATTTAGTTCATCTAAGAACAAGGATGCCAGTCAGAACCACGAGAGTTAGTTTCCAGAGGTTTCTGAAGCAGTAATATTCTGATAGGATTCCTTAGAAGACAGTTATGTGTTTCTGTGAGAGCAATCCTTAAGATGGAGAGAGAAGCAAGTCTTAATCCAAGGTATCTGAGCATAATTCCTTAAGTCAGCTAATGTAACAGCCTGGTAAAGAGTTTCAAGTGGAGTTTGGACAGTCCTGGGTTGACCATGGTTCTAATTGAAAAGCCCGTTGCTAGTGTAGTAAAGTAGTAAAGCTAAACTAAAAAGCTTGTCTATCAGTGAACCTGATATATCTATCATTCTGGAGATATGAAGATTTGTTATGATAGTGTGCACACATCACTCTGGTTGAAGAATAGGTTTTTAAGTAAACTGACTTAAATACAAATATGCTGGGTAGTTCTATTTGGTTTTACTTCATTTAGTAGGTGATGAATATTTTACTGTGTTTTTACATTAGAGTTCTGGCACATGGTAGGCACTCAGTACATGCCTGCTGTTAGGGTAATTATTATCACTTCCAAATCATCTCATGGCCACAACACGCCAGCTACTGGCTAGAACCTGCTGGCAATAGTAATAGTCTTCATGGAATTCTGCAAAACCCCATCAAGAATGACCTAAAACAATCAAGATGATCTGTGGTTTTGCTTCCTCACTCTGCTGATACGGTGAATTACAGTCATTGATTTGTTTTGTAACATAGATTTTCAAAGGTTAAGCCAGTCCTACATTCCTAAGGTAAACCCCACTTGGTCATGTTGTATTACCTTTTTTTATATATTGCCAGGTTCAGCTTGCTCATTTACACTGGTAAGAAGTATGGTCACGGAGTTGGCCTTGTGGGAAGGTTCTTAATTTGGAGTTGATTATTTAATAGATGGAGAGCTACTCAGATTTTCTATTTCTTCTTGAGCCACTTTGGGTACATGTTCTGACTGAGGTCTACTGCTCCCCGTACCCCTGACCTGGGACATGCCTGCAGGGGGGAAGCTGGCCCAATAGCGGGGCTCCCCTCATTTCTTTCCCTTCTGTCAGGGTTACAGTCCAGTACTGCTTGTTGCCAGTGTCTGAAAACAGTCATTTCTCATATTTTATGCAGCTTGCTAGTTGTTTCTGGCAGAAGGGCGAGTCTGGGCTCTGTCTTACTGCCATGGGGAAAGCGGAAGCCACGTAAGCTTTTTTGGGCATTGAGTACAACAAATTTAGTGCTTCTGGTTGTTTCTCATCGACAGCTATAAATTTGGACTCAAAACTGCAGGTAGTTGAACTTTACATGGACTCAATCTTCTTTTAAATCTGACTGTATTCCAAGTTGCAATTTCACTGTCTTTCACTAAAAAGTAGTATTACTTTGTTTTAGAAATTGGATTCTGTGACTAAACCTTATTTTTTTCCTCTTCATTTAAGTTTCCTTCAGCATTCGAGTTTAATGAGCTATTCTTGATTACAATTTTGGATCACCTTTATAGCTGTCTTTTTGGGACCTTTCTGTGCAACTGTGAGCAGCAGCGATTCAAAGAGGTGAGTGTGTTGTGTCCTCGCCTGTTGCTTTCTCTGTGGCTCAGGCACCTCTCCTAGGAAGTGCCACTGTAGGAGGGCTGAGGGGAGGGAGGACTGCGCTCTGGTGCTGTTGCTGACTGTAAATGCCCTCCTGGGTTCCGGCCAGCCCCACCGCATGTGTCTAACACTAGCCCCTTCCTTTCTTGGCATGGGGGGCTGGGACCCAGAGAGCCCATGGCTCTCTAAGGAGTAGATCAGTGCTAGACCCTGGACCTCCTGACTCTGAGTTCATGTGTTTTCCACTGCACCAACTCCAAAACCGTTTGATTCTGCTTTTCATCCTCTGTGGTGCTGGACAGATCGTACTTGAAGGCCTTGAAAATGGAGTCTGCCAATTAGCCAAAAACCCCACTTTAGGTAGCAAGCTAACACTTTTTTACATCAAAGTAGTAACGAAGCAGTTACCAAACTTCTGAGAGTTACATCTCACCTCTTTCTTTTTTCCTCGGTGTGGAATAAAAGAAAGACGTGGTCAAAAGTGAGAAGGCATTGGAAAAAGGCAGCTTCAGGACTATGGTCCTGCTAATAGACAAGGACCACTGCCTGTGAGCTGAGTACATTAGGACAGTATAGAATTCAGGAGAAAACAGTCTGCCAGTAACGCCCACCTCCTCCTCTTTCAACAGCCTCCCTCAAGTTGACAGTGTCCTCATTCTGTGACCCCACGTCATCCTGCCTCTTCCCTGCCTCCTCTGGCTGGTGCCGTTTTAACCAGTCTCTAAAGTTGGAGTCACCTGGGCCCATTCCTAGGTCCTCTTCTCGCCTCAACTCTTGTTCTGTCTTTCTAGGTGACTTTGTCTCACCTTGGGGACCTAAATGCCTTTTCCTGCTCCTCCCTGGCTCTTTTGCATCTCAGTCCACAGCACCACTGGCCATCTAGATGCCGAGGCCAAATACGTGGGAGTTACCTTCCATTCCTCCCTCACCCTCACCCTAGCCACCACACCCAGTCCCTTGGTGAGTGCTACTGGCCTTTTCCCAAAGCATATTCTTTATCTGCCACTTCTTAACTGCCTTATAGCTACAAGCGTAGCTTAGGCCCCTACTGTCTCACATCTGGACTAAGGCAGAAACCCAGGAATGGGCTTCCCTGATTCTCTTTCTGAGCTTCAGTAGTCCATTCTAAACATAGCAACCAGAGTGAGCATTCGCTAACTGAAATCTGATCATGTACCTCTCCACCGCTTCCCACTGCAGTTAGAGGAAAATCCGCGCTCCTGCGAACCCAGTGTGATGGGGCTTGTTAACCTCCTGATAAAAAGAAAAACATTTTTAGAAAAGTGAATTTTATGTTATGTGAGTTATATCTCAAAGCCATTTAAAACAAATAAAACCAGAAACAGAAGAATGAAGTTTATGTAAAGAATTTAAACCATGGTTTTCTCTTCTTTTTTTTTTTTTTCTTGAGAGGGGGAGTGTAAAATGCATTCTTAAAAAAATCAGCTCTCTTCCAGTCTAGTGCCTTTGGAGAAAAAATAAAAATCAGCTCTCTTGATATATAATTTACATACTGTAAAATTCACCCACCTAAAGTGTACAATTTCATGGTTCTAGCATACTCCATATTGTGCACCATCACCAGTATCTAATTTCATAAAATTTCTTTATTTCTATTTTTTTGTAGAGATGGGAGTCTTGCTATGTTGCCCAGGCTGGTCTGGAACTCCTGGCCTCAAGTGATCCTCCCGCCTTGGCCTCCCAAAGTGCTGGGATTACAGGTGTGAGCCACTGCGCCTGGTCTAATTTCATAAAATTTGTCACCCCCAAAAGAAATGGCATACTCAATAGCAATCACTTCCCATTTCCCTACCCCTTTCCCCAGAAACCATCTATCTGCTTTCTGTCTTTACAGATTTGCCTATTCTGGACATCATAGAAATGGAATTATAAATGGAATTATACAATAGATGAAGTTCTATGACTGTCTTCCTTGATTTAGCATAATGTTTTCAAGGTTCATCTATGTACCAATACATTATTTTTATGGTTGAGCAATTTTCCATTATATGGATAGACCACATTTTGTTTATCCATTTATTGGTTGATAGAAATTTGGGTTGTTTCCACATTTTGGCTTTTAGGAATAATGCTACTATAACCGTTCACGTACAGGTTTTTATGTGGACATATGCTTCCATTACCTACGAGTGGAATTACTGGGTTATATCGCAACTATGTTTAACCTATTGAGGAACTGCCAGATTGTTTTCCAAAGCAGTTGCACACATGAGCAATGTCTGAGGCTTTCAGTTTCTCCACGTTTCACCAACACTTACTATATTCCTTTTTAAAAAGATTATAGCTATCCTAGTGAGTGGGAAGTGGTGTGTTGTGGTTTTAGATTTGCATTTCCCCAACGACTAATGATGTTGAGCATATTTCCATGTGCATATTGGCCATTTGCATATCTTCTGTGGAGAAAGTCTATTCAGATCCTTAGTTCATTTTAAAATTGTGTTATTTGTCCTTTTTATTATGGAGTTGTAAGCGTTCCTTATACATTCTTTATATATGCAACTTCCTTAGAAGATACATGATTTGCAAAAATTGTATCCCATTTATGAGTTGTTTTTTTTTACTTCATGGTGTCCTTTGAAGTACAAAAGTTTTTAATTTTGTTGAAGCCCAATTTATCTATTTTTTCTCTGCTGCTTACACTTTTGGTATCATATCAAAGAAACCATTGCTTAATCCAAAGTCACGAAGATTTGTTCCTATGTTTTCTTCTAAGAGTTTTATACTTTTAGCTCTTACATTTAGGTCTGTGATCTGTTTTGAGTTAACGTTCGTATACAGTGTGAATTAAGGATCCAACTTCATTCTTTCGTGTGTTGGCTGTCTAGCTGTCGTGCTAGCACCATTTTCAGAAAGATTATCTTTCCCTCATTCAATTTTCTTGCCACCTTTGTTGAAGATCAGTTCACCATAAATGTGAGAGCATTCATTTCCATGCTCTCTATGCTGTTCCATTGATCTGCATGTCTGTCCTTATGCCAGCACCACTGGCATTGATTACTGTGGCTGTGTAGTAACTTTTGAAAATGGGAAGTGTGAGGCCTCCTACTTTTTTCTTTTCCGGATCCTTTTAGTTATTGTTGGTGATTCTCTTATAAATAAATGTATAAAAGTTGAAATGGTCCTAATCAAATGTTGCTGTATTTAGATAGCTCGTGGGAAGTCAGCAGCAGAATGGGAGAAAATGCTGATCGTCTTGCCATTTCCCCATTTGACTTTGTCATTGTGCTCGATCCATTGTTTAGTATCTACCTTCCTCACCACATTTGGGTGTTTTTGTTCAGATGAGGAATGCTAGTGGGTATAGTGTTTCTGAATAGTGTACTACAAAATTAGGGGAAGAAGAGATAACTTAATGACATACTTATTTCTCTTTACCAAGTTTCTCCAGCCTGCCACCACAACACATTTTCCTCCAGATAGCCATGATTTTCCAGTGTGAGGAATCTTACTGTAAAATTTACTCTCATTTCTCAACATTAAGAGTCACAGCTGGTCCTGTAATCCTAGCACTCTGGGAGGCCAAGGCAGGCGCATCACTTGAGATCAGGAGTTCGAGACCAGCCTAGGCAACGCGGTGAAATGCCATCTCCACCAAAAAATACAGAAATTAGCTGGGTGTGGTGGCGCGCGCCTGTAGTCTTCAGCTACTCAGGAGGCTGAGGCAGGAGAATCACTTGAACCCGGGAGGCAGACATTGCAGTGAGCTGAGATCGTGCCACTGCACTCCAGCCTGGGCGATAGAGTGAAACTCCATCTCAAAAAAAAAAAAAAGTGTCACATTAGCCCCCTAACATTTTTTTCTTTTAGAGACAGGGTCTTGCACTATTGCCCAGGCTAGAATACAGTGGTACAATCATAGCTCACTACAGCCTCAAACTCCTGGGCTCAAGCAATCCTGCCACCTCAGCCTCCTGAGGAGCTGGGACTATACTTGGCTAATCTTTAAATTTATTTATTTTTTTTGTAGAGACAAAGTCTCACTGTGTTGCCCGGCCTGGTCTCAAACTCCTGCCTCAGGCAATCCTCCCACTGTGGCCTCCCAAAGTGCTGGCATTATAGACTTGAGCTACTGTGCCCAGCCTACAAAAGCAAACTTGACACCAGAATTTAAAATTATATTTGTTATGGCGGGCCCTATCATCCTGTGGTCATTAGAAAGTTCTCACTCTGCTTTTCCGTAGACACAGTTGTCAGATGTTACCTGACCTCAGCAATATGTTTTTCCAGGACAGCAACCAGTGTGTTTTCATTTCATCCCTACATGAGGCCTTGAGTGGCAAGATGGTAGGGCTGGGGCTTAGTAAATGTTCATGAAATTTTCAGCATTTGAATTCACTTCATTATTCAAATCCTTTTCTCTGTGTAATACTAATTCCTGATATATGAAGATAAGTTTATTTCAGATGTTTCTTTTTTTGTTTTTCAGGATATATATACAAAGACTGTATCTTTATGGTCATATATCAATAGCCAACTAGATGAGTTTTCTAATCCCTTCTTTGTGAATTATGAAAACCACGTGTTATATCCTGTTGCTAGTCTGAGTCATCTGGAATTGTGGGTAAACTATTACGTACGATGGAATCCACGGATGAGACCTCAGGTATCTTTTTGTTTTTCTCTTCATGAATGAGAGAATGTGCCTTTTTTCCCAAGTCAAGATGGTGGTATGAAAATGTGTTGATGGTAGATATCAACATACTATACTGACTGTCTTCTGCACTTGCCTGTCAGGGTTCAGTCCTTTGCATTCATGTTCCAGGAGGTTCCTCCCGTACACCAACTCAGATACTGTTTGCTGGGTTAAAGTCAAAAAATCTTATCACTTCTGTCCCGTACTGATGAGGTACATAAAGTGTCATGTGTTCCAGTGCTTGGCCCTTCATCTTATAAACGACTTTACCTGGAGGTATGAGGGGCGGGGCAGCCTTCTCCCTGTTTCCACCTAGAGGTGGTAGAAAGGCATGTGGAAAGTGCGTCAGGGTTACGGTGTCTAGACCCTGATGGTCCAACAGTGGAGGCAGGTGCTGAGTCACAGAACAGGTGCCCTCTTGAAGAAGGGAGAGTTTGTCCTTCCCCGCCACACTTTTTCACTGTAACGTTTTCTGAGATGGAACAAAATTAGGGAACGGCACACTGCAGGGGCCCTCCACCAAGCCTGTGTCCTCCCTTTGTGTTCAGTGGCTGAGCTCCGGCTGCGGGTTCCTAAAGAGCTCCCCCATCCTCCATTGTGCTGTGGGTTTTGATTCAGTCCTGCCCTGCGCCCCCAGTCTCCACATGGTGGCCAGGGCATGGTCGGCTCTAGGTGGTGAAGACGACGGGTGGAGGCAGCCCTTACCTCCATGGACAGATAACTGCCTACTGAGATTTTTCCTTTTCTTTCTTTTTTTTTGAGATGGAGACTTGCTCTGTTGCCCAGGCTGGAGCATAGTGGCACAAGCTTGGCTCACTGCAATCCCCACCTCCCAGGTTCAAGCGATTCTCCTGCCTTGGCCTCGAAAGTACCTGGGAGATTCCACCATGCCTAGCTAATTTTCATACTTTTAGTAGAGACAGGGTTTCTCCATGTTTGCCAGGCTGGTTCCAAACTCCTGGCCTCAATTGATCTGCCTGCCTCGGCCTCCCAAAGTGCTGGGATTACAGGTGCACACCACCATGCCAGGCTCGAGACTTTTCTTTTGAGTTGAATACTCTGAGTTACTGTAGTCCCCCAGGAGCGTGTAGCCAGGCCATTGTTTAACAGTGTTGCTTCTGTCAGGCAAGATGCAGAAATCTGCCTTTCCTCTCCATCTTTTTACTCCCCTCCGTCTCACCTAGGGATTCATGATCTCCATATTGTCTCCATGCTCCACTAGCCATGGGCAGTCTGAACTGTTCATGTTCCTTTTAACTGCCTGGCTCTGGAACCTCAAGGATACGTCACTGTAGTACTGCGCCCTCCCCGCTGGAAAGCTCCCTTGCTGGTAGCCTAGCTCCACGCACTACCTGCTGGGTGCTCCCCACTGCCCTGCCTGCTGTTTGGCCACTCCTTACTGGATCTTTTGCCCTCTACCACAGACCAGGCTGGTCATCGCTCACCTTTTCTTTCCCAGATGGCTTTCTGTTTTGTTCCGCATAGCTTCAGCTGCAAATGCTTTTCTCCCCTGGACCCTCCAAGTTGGCCCTGCCACCCTTAGGACCTCAGGAGTGTTTTCCACAGCACTGTGGTCAGCACTCACTCAGCCTAGTACTTGTACACCAAGCCTGGGGACGTCGGAAGGAGCCTGACTGCGAGGGAGCTCCTCATCCCAGGGGCCCTTAGCCACTTCTCCCCTTGTAAACACCCTGCCCCTATTTGAATCAGATCCGCATGTGAATGACGCCCCCACCCTTTGTGTCTTCCCATGTATGAAAACAGCTAGTATTTGATCACCTCTTTCAGCCCTTCCCAGAGTCTTCCTTGGATGGGAGAGACTTGCATCTGTGTTCCCCTCCCATAGCCAGGGAGCCGCTGGGACTCATGCTGCCCTGGAGCCTTTCCTGTTAGCGCCCTCTTCCCTGTTCACCTGATGCTCTGGTGGCCCTATGTTTATTGCCCAAACTAGCGCACTCTGAGAAAGAGAGCTGGACGTGCTGCTAATAAGCAGCCTGTAGAATTCCCCAAGGCACTCAATACTGCACCAGCCTGTTTGCCTGCCTGCTGCCCCTACAGACCACAGGCTTTGAAACCACAGCCCTCAGCACCTAGCGTGGTTGGTAACTAAGAGAGGCTCAACATATGTGACTGAGTGAACATGTGATGGATGAAGAGGCAGGCCCTCTGCTGCAGGCCACCTCCTCCTGCATATCTGCTCCCTCCAGCCCCTTGAACCTGTGTTTCTTCCCACTGCCTCCCATGGCTCTTGCCCCACAGCCGACAGAGGACTGATGCCTGTCCACCCTAAACCTGTCCTATCCCCACCGGCCCCTCCCGCAGGTCTCCCCTCCACACCCCGTCCTCTGGAATATTGGAACAGCCTTCTGCCTACGCTCCCTGCCTCAGTCTCCCTCGAGTCCATGCTCCAGCTTCCTATGGAGAGGCCTTTCACCCCTGCCTAACAGCCCAGGCATCACCTTCTGTGGCTGCCCAATGGCACCAACTCCCCACGCCCTCCACCACTTGGTCACCATTTGGGCTCCTGGCATCATCTTAGCCTCCTTCTTCCTATTTTTTTAAAAATTTACATTTCTGGCTGGGCGCGATGGGTCACACCTGTAATCCTAGCACTTTGGGAGGCCGAGGCAGCTGGATCACGAAGTCAGGAGTTTGAGACCAGCCTGACCAACATGGTGAAACCCCATCTCTACTAAAAATTTAAAAATTAGCCAGGTGTGGTGGTATATACCTGTCTGTAGTCCCAGCTACTCAGGAGGCTGAGGCAGGAGAATCGCTTAAACCTGGGAGGCGGACGTTGCAGTAAGCCGAGATCATGCCACTGTACTCCAGCCTGGGTGACAGAGCAAGACTCCATCTCAAAAAAAAAAAAAAAAATTTCACATTTCCCTCTGCCTTTAGTCTTTGTGATCTGCAAGACTAGTCCCTGTTTGTTATGAATTAATCTAAGTTATTAATCTAATAACTGCTTGCCATTAGATTGAATACTTCCCCAAATGAGAATTGAGTTTGAAGGCGAGCTGTCTTTGAAATGGCCCGTGTGCCCAGAAACCATCAATGAGCACGAGAGGTTGCTGGTCCCATTAGCATCTTCTGTCCTGGTTTTAGCTGAAGAAGTTCATGTGCAGGGTGACCTGCTGTCCTTCCCCTGGAGTCCAGGTCCAGCCCTGCTCTCCTTTCGGACCTCAGGGGCATTACTTTAGATGCTAAACACGGGGGCCGATCAAGTTCCTCTTTCCAGTCAGTGGTCAGCTTTACTTGGGAACCAAAGTCCGCAGCCCCCTTCCAGCACCTTCCTCTTCACCGATGTGTATTTCTGTCCTACTTAGGCATTTTGCTGAGTTATTCTGTCCTGGGTGACTTCTGTTTCATCTGTTTTAGCAACAGGGAAAATGGGCTACAGAATGTCACAAGTCACTGTGTTATTAAATCACATAGAGTTGCTAGGTAGTATTCTTGGTGACTCAGAGGACCAGGTGGTTGGTGGAATGTCATTAACATTAGCAGAAAATGCAGCAGAACTCTGCCTGATCTGAAGTGCCTTAGGCTTAATGGGGTCCTTCCATGACTGCAGGAGACCCCTGCCCTGCACCCCACCATGCCCTGCTTTGTCCAGCAGGTGGCAGAGGTGAAGAAACACTGAGCAGCAGAGAGGGTTAGAATGCTGTCCCTCAGGGGAGCACCCAGGCTCAGATTCTTGCCCACCATGTGAGGGCAGGGAACAGATCTTTCCTGAAATCTACAAACTGCATGACAGATCTGTTCCCAGATGCGGTCAGATTCTTACACATGTAAGTGAAGTCATCTGCAACATGATGATGATGGAACAACAGCGATAGCACCTGTAACTTGCAGTCCTCTTGTGTGCCAGTGGACTCTGTACACGCATGACCCCAGTTGTCGCTCCCAGCAATTCCATGGTGTAGAGAATGAGGGAAGGATCAGAGAAGCTGTGACTTGGTTGAGATCTTGCTGCTTGGTGCAGGTAGTTGTGGAAGGATGCTTCCTACTGGGGTCAGATCCCGTCTCTGATCTGCGGCAGGGTCCTGAGCCTCACTGGGACCTCACGGGGTTGCTGAGCAGGAAGTGAATCCATTCCAAGTGCACTGTGCTCAGAGGATGGTACGTGGGTGGTCCTATCTTTTGCATTCTCCCTCCACTGTGCTACACAGAAGAGAGAACCAAGAAAGAGTATGTGAGCCAGGTTTTTATCCTCTACACACTAGGCATGTATTGGACACCTCCTGGGTGTGGACACAGTGTGCTGGGGAGTGGGCTGGGCCTTGGTAATGATGGACGCTGGAGAGGCAGGTTGGAGTTTGGACTTTATTCCAGGGTTTGTGGGAACCATCTTATGGTTTGCATGACAAGGCCAAGTGTATGTTCTAGAAAGCTCACTCTGGCAGCACTGAGGTGGATGGGAATGGGGGTGGGGCAGTACAGTGAAGGCAGGCAGAGATCAGCGGCTAGTGTGGGTGTCCAGAGACAGGGCCTGGAGAGCCGAGTGGGGCCGAGAGGAGGAGGAGCGATGTGAGAGGAGGGAGTACGGGGTAAAGGACAGGGGAGGTGCAAGCCTGTTGGGCGTCTTTTCTCTGAGAAGGGAGTGGCGAAATCAGCTGCCGAGAGAGGGGTTCTCTGGGCATCCGTCAGATGGCTGGGTGCAGAAGGCCTGTGGACATCGAATCTCCTTGGGACCGTCTTGCTTTAAGTTTCATTATGCCAGCACCCATGGTACAAACATGACTGGCCCTTAGATGGGAATTTTCTCTAACACAATCCTCTGTTTAAGCCTCCGAGTTTTCTATTCCTTTAGGCATGCCCTTGATTTGTTGCAAATGAAAATAGTAGGCTGGGCATGGTGGCTCACGCCTTTGATCCCGGCACTTTGGGAGGTTGAGGCGGGCAAATCACTTGAGGTCAGGAGTTCAAGACCAGCCTGGCCAACATAGTGAAACCCCATCTCTATTAAAAATACAAAAATTAGCTGGAGGTAGTGGTGGCGGGTGTCTGTAATCCCAGCTGCTCAGGAGGCTGAGGCAGGAGAACTGCTGGAAATTGGGAGGTGGAGGTTGCAGTGAGCTGAGATCGTGCCATTGTACTCCAGCCTGGGAAAGAGAGTGAGACTGTACTCTACCTCAAAAAAAAAGTGAGAAAAGATGCAAACAGCTGCCTGAAGAAATGATAGTGGTGCATTTGAGCAGTCCTGGGTCTCTGCCATGTGTATGTGAATGGCGTATTGCCCTGCGTGTGTGTGAATGGCGTATTGCCCTGCGTGTGTGTGAATGGCGTATTGCCCTGCGTGTGTGTGAATGGCGTATTTCCCTGCGTGTGTGTGAATGGCGTATTTCCCTGCGTGTGTGTGAATGGCGTATTGCCCTGCGTGTGTGTGAATGGCGTATTGCCCTGTGTGTGTGTGAATGGTGTATTTCCCTGCGTGTCTTGCTTCTTGCTGAGGCCACATGCCTGTGGGTGGATAATGGGAGCTTGATTGTAAAGCCTTCCCTTGTCTGATCAGAATTCAGTGATCCTACAGACAGGAAAATGCACACGAGATGGGTCCTAAAGGTAAGAGAGGAGCTGCTGCATCCTCGCAGAGGCCTCTGGGATCCGCCTTTGCCACCACACTCCACCTGTCCCTTCTCTCCTTCCTGTGGCCTGCCCAGTGGGGCCATTAGTTCTCAGCCCACAGGGTGCTGGGTACCGAGCACCATGTTATTGGAGGCACCGTTGATGCACACAGTGATGCCGCCCAGTGTTTGAGGGAGTGGGGGCAGGATCTGGTAAAAGGTGAGCCGGAAGGCCGGGCGCGGTGGCTCACACCTGTAATCCCAGCACTTTGGGAGGCTGAGGCGGGTGGATCACGAGGTCAAGAGATCGAGACCATCCTGGTCAACATGGTGAAACCCCGTCTCTACTAAAACTACAAAAAATTAGCTGGGCATGGTGGCACGTGCCTGTAATCCCACCTACTCAGGAGGCTGAGGCAGGAGAATTGCTTGAACCCAGGAGGCGGAGGTTGCGGTGAGCCGAGATCGCGCCATTGCACTCCAGCCTGGGTAACAAGAGCGAAACTCCGTCTCCAAAAAAAAAAAAAAGGTGAGCCAGAGGGCCAGGCTGGGGCCAGACTGCAGATGGCCTCGAGACCCCTCGCAGGGCAGAGGGAAGAAGCCCGTGGAAGGTGTTACGTGGCGAGTCACAGGGTCTGACTGAGGCTTAGGAGCCAGCCCTATGGCTGCGGTGGATACACTGGATCAGAGACAAGGGAAGGCTGGGGAGCCCCCCAGACCCCATCCTGTTTCTCCTTCACCCCCAGTTGGTGACCATTCTGCTCAGCCTTGCCCCCAGCCAAAGAGCTCCAGGTAAGAAAAGCTGGGTCTCGGCTGTCTGGCGCCCTAGTAGCTGCTGGAGAGAGCTTGTTAGGCTAGTGAGTTGGGTGCTTTGACTATAAAATAGCAGAACTGGGTGTCCCATATGCCCCAGGAAAACCTTTCTTGTTTATAGTCACACCTGCACCCCACAGTCAATGGTTTTAAAAGAGAAAAGCTAATTGGGGTGAGGTATTGGGGTGATGCTGAGCAGGGAGGGAGGGGATGGTCCCTTGGGGAGGCCCCCCCGGAGCAGGCGCTGCCTGCTCCGGGGGGCTTCTGGCAGCTCCTGCTTCGGTTGATGAAAATGCAGCTTCAACTTGTAGAAAGTGCTGATTTAACAGAAGGATTTTCAGTCAGCAGAGCTATTTATAGAAATGCAAAAATACAGAGATAATGGAGATGCCGGAAAGGGGGTCTGCACGTAAACGTTTCTGACGCATGGTCTTGAGGACACTGTGCCGCGTCTGCACACGGTGCCCTCAGTTGATCTGTGTCCCCGCACCTGCCTGTCTTCTGAGAACTGGGGAACCTCCCCATGGTGCCTTTTCCATCCCGGCTCAGTGGCTCAGCCCCCGGAGCTGCAGGGCAGCCTCAGTGGCAGCCGAAGCTCATGGGATGGGGTCCCACTGTCCACCTGGCGTGAGGTTGGTCAACTCCTCAGGAGACTTTGGCCACACCAGGCATCTGGGTGGTGAAAGCCTCCTGAAGCCATCGGCACACCTGCATGTGGAAACGCTGTGGCAGGAGGACCGCCTGATAACGCAGCTCTGTCTCTGCTCCCTCCAGATGCCCATCCACCAGAATCTCAAGGAGCTGCTGGCTGTCAGGGCGGAGCTGCAGAAGCGGGTGGAGGACCTGCAGCGCGAGGTGGCCACACGCACTGTCTCATCCTCATCTGAGCGGGGCTCCTCGCCTTCCCACTCCGCCACTCCCGTCCACACCTCAGTCTGAGGGGCAGGGCCAGCCTGCTGCTCCATGGTCTTCCAGCGGCTCAGGAAAGGGACCTGGCGATCACTGTTATGGCTGTAGCTTGTGATCTTGTCTTTTAGGATTAGGCCCAGGGACCATTTATGTGGCTAGGTGACAGCTCCCACTATTGGCAAGTGCTTTTCGTTTTGTGAACAGCCCGTTTCCCTCCTGTCAGTGGTTTCACAGGGGAGCCATCTGTCACATCCACCCTGTGAAGCAACTCCTAGCATCCAGGCAGCTTGGGAGAAATGAAGTGAATGGGATGCAGTACTGAGGTTCCAGAGAGCCGCACACCATTTCCTTCCAGGTCAAATCCTTCAGTAACAACAAACACCGCTCACTTCGAGATGCATTGCCGGCCTCGGGGCTTCCCTCAGCTCCTGACCACAACCTGAAAACTGTTTTGAATGAAATACCTGGGGAAGACAGACCACTGCCCTCTATTCCACAGTCCTCTTCATGCACGGGGTCCCCTGTAACAATTCCTGCTGTGTACATATAAGGTATTTTTAGAGAAGAGAAACAGGCCTTTATTTTCCTATGTCCTTTTTTATGTTTAGAATAGTCACCTGAGGAGGGATCAGCTCACCTGTACTCTGGGAGAAATTCTTTTCCAACAAACCTCACGCTCATGTTTCTGTGGTGCATTTGAAATGGGATTGGAACATGGTCATTTAAGGGGCACCGTGTTCTGTCCCCACCTCACTCTGGCACTCGCCTCTTGGGGCAGCTCATCCCCTTCATGGGGACGGCACCAGGTGGCCGTGCTTAGTCTTCCGGCCCCGCTGAGGGGAAACCGAGGCCTCCGGCAGCTGTGTAGGTGCTGGCCTCTGGCTCCTTCAAGGAGCACTGCCTGTCCCTCCATCCTGGGCTGTCTGGCCATGCTTCCCACCATCACTTTACTGCTGCCAGCCGCTGGGATCAAAGCAGTCTGCTCTTATGTTATCTGCCTGTACGAAATCATTTCTCATTTTATCCCAGTTCCTTCAACTCAGCTTACTCACATGGCTGCCTGTCAATATCTGAAAGCAACCACTGTGCTGTGGCTTTGGTTTGGAAAAGCATAGCTTGTACTTCCCTTGGTTTTCCCTTCCCAGAGCTGACCGCAGCTGGTCAGCCCTCTCTTCCTGCTTCGGAACCTTTACTTACTGACACTGAGCTCTGTGACTCCATCAGTCCTCGCAGGAATTAATTTACCACCAATTGGTTCTATCCACTTGAACGCCATTGCTCTGAGCTCCTCTGTGCGACATGCCACAGGATGAATACTGCACACCTGGGTCCTGCACCGGCAGGCCGCACTCCTCCCTCGTGCTGTACCCATTGCTGCAACTCCCCCCACCCCGCCACGGGCTGCAGGAATCCAGCCTTCAGAGGCAGACACAGCTGCAGTGGCTCCTAACGAAACCCCAGCATGACTGCAGAGCAATGTTAGCTGGTGAGTTTCAAATTAGTGGATTCCAGGCAAAGTCCTACATAATGACCTTATTTTAGAAAATATGTTAAGGGTTTTTTAATAGTCAAGTAGAGAATGGATTTTTTTTTTAACTGGGAACCTTCTGATTCTTACTGAAAATTATCCTTCTGTAAGATACCAGAGATTTATTCAAGGGAATTTGATAACCTAAAATCAATTCTCCATTTTTATCACCCGTGGGATTTGTTTCTAAATCATATTTGACATTAACTTTTGATTTATGTTCCTAACATATCTGAAAGTGTATTTATGAATGGATAAACTGGATTATTGATATACTGATTTTTGTTGAAATGGGGACGTTGCCCATTTTCTTCCCAGAAATATGTAATCCCCCAGCTAAGTAGGAGTATTAAACACAGTGTGGACTGGATGACGCCTTCGACAAACCAGAGAAGCCAAGCTTGGGGTGCTGGTGCCTGGAGTGGGCCTGGTGCGCCTCACCTGGCGGGGCTGGGGGGCTCCGTCAGCAGGACCCTAAAGATTCCCATTCGATTTTAAGCACAACGGGTCATTTTCCTTTGTATGTTAGTAGCGCAGAACTGTTTCTAAAACAACTTGAAATATAGGTTTGTTACCTAAGCATTTTTGTTTGTTTCAAGTGTACTAGAATGCAAAACCTTTACGGTTCAGGTTTTTCAAAACTGGTACAGTATTGTATTGGCCTCACCTGTTGCACTGTATTTCAGTCTGTAATTAAAATGATCATATGTTTGCTCCCTGGTCTTTTTTGTTGTCTTTTCAAAGTATCTCAGTACATTTTTCCTTTGAGGAAAATTGGTAATAACATAACATGGATTGAATGTTTACTGTGTGTCAAGCACAGTTAATATATGTATAGTACCTTCATATAATTTAATTCAATCAATCACTAAATCATAAATGTATCATGAATCTTGAGTATTTTGGCTGAAACAGGAAATACTGATTTGAAGTCAGAAATGCCCTCAACTGTGACCTTGAGAGAATGTGGTGACTTGGGGAAGGGTCTGGAGGCATGCTCTCTAAGGCCTCACACTGCCCCCACTCCCCCCCCCCCCACTGCCGTGTCCCCTGTGTGTCGGTTGTCTTCTTAAGGGTGTGGGGTTCCTGTCCCTCTCTATACATCACTGCTGAGTGAGCCAGAGAGCCCTGTAATAGGCACAGAGGATGCCCAGGGGACTGCTTGCCAGACAGCGTTCCCCAGCAGTGAGACCACAGCAGCAAGCAGGGCTGGGAGGGCTGCTCCGCCAGGCCTCTGCTAGCCTTGCAGAACTGCTGCACAAGAGAGGCACACGGGGGTCTCGGGTTTGAGAGGACCTGGTGCCATTTCACTAGAAGCCAAGTTTGGCAAAACAAAATGAAAAAACAACCGACCTCCATGTTAAAATCCAGGGTCCACTGCATCTTGTTTTCTTTTTTTGAGACGGAGTTTTGCTCTTGTTACCCAGGCTGGAGTGCAATGGCGCGATCTCAGCTCACCGCAACCTCTGCCTCCTGGGTTCAAGCAATTCTCCTGCCTCAGCCTCCCGAGTAGCTGACACTACAGGCGCTCGCCACCATGCCCAGCTAATTTTTGTATTTTTAGTAGAGATGGGGT